GCAATTCCTTGATCGGGACGTGGACCTCGCCGATCTCCTTGTCGCCGAAACTGCGGTCGGAGACGAGCTTGATCTTGAGGGTGAGCTGGTTCTGCTTGGCGGCGGCGTCGGGGACGGTGAACTTTATGGTGTAGTTCCACCTAGGGTTTGGGCCGGAGTCCTTATCGACGTGGGTCTTCTGCTTGGATTTTGAGAAGGAGTCGCCGGAGATCGAAACGACGGCGTAGACGTCCATCTTGGAGAGGAAATTGACGTCCTTCAGGTCCGTCGCCGAGATTAAGGTTATGTCCAGAGGTCTGCACTCCATAGCTATGAGAAGAAGATCTTCTATGGGAAGGAAGGAACGAATTTGAGAATCTAATCTAAGTGTAAAGAGAGCTTTTTTTGTTTGGAGGGAAGGAAACTGAAATTTGGGGGAGAAAAGAACGGGTCTGGGAATTTAAAGTGAGGGAAAATGGGTAGGAAGGAAAATACATAGAAAGTGAAACCGACTCGGGAAAATAAAGGCTCTCTGGCTTTTTCTGGGATTCCCTAGAATAGCTCCTTAGGCGCGTCAGTTTGTTATTATTTGTTCCTTTTTCTTAGGACTCTATATGTTTATTAGATTAGATATGACATTTTTTTTTTAAAAATGGTTTTCTTTTTTGTTTCTTCTAAAATAATTTTTTGTCAAAAATTTGACGGCAAATATTTTTTAATTTTATTAAATCGTGGATATTCGTATATTTATGGGAAAAAGACGCGTACAAGGCGCGTGGTAATCGCTTGTGCTTTAGGACGAAGGAATAAAATAAAGTGGGGTTTATTCGGTAAACAGTCACATTGAACAATGCAAAATGAAAGCACGTTTGCAACCTCCACACGTGTGTAGGTAGGCATAAATGATGATATCGATTTTACTTGTAAATGTCAAAGTTGTAAGCATGTCGTTTTCTTCTAAATTCTTGATTCTTCCATCATTACTTTATGTAGTCGGGTGGAAATAAACTTAACGAGAAACAGTTTTGGAGGTGATTTTGTTACAAGTAAACTACCCTTTATTTTTCTCATAAAAAAGAAGGAAAAAAAAAATCTTTGACTTCTTCTAATGTGATAACAAAGTCACACATTCGGGGTGAAAAACAAGGAATATAAAGCTTTATTTTGAAAGGGGTGAAAAAAGGACAAGAATCAGC